ATATTCCTATTCCAGTTCCTCCTATGGTTTTGGAACCGTCCGTATACCACTGAATAGCACGTCTTTCGGTTGCAAGCGCGATGTATTCTTGGTTCCATTCTTTATTGCAGCCCAGCTCTGTGGTGTTAAAGTTTTTCACAAAACTTTAGCATGTCCCAGGTATCTTTAGTCCTGAAGCAAGTAGACTTTCGTCTGATTACTCTATTCCTGATCATTGTATATCGTGTCCTTTTTGCCACATTCTCTATCATCAAATGTAGAAGGGTGAGGTTTAAGATCACCTCCATTGCGGCCGTAGGACAGGTTCTCATTGCACTAGTAATGCAAACACAGGCTAGTCTTTGTACTTTTTGAGATAACGCTTACTGAAGAGAATATTTCTCTATAAAAGAGAATATCAAAAGTTGCTGGTTTTAGAGGAAAACTAAATACAAATTAATCATCATATTTATATTGGGTAATGTGCTTTCAGCAAAATTATAACTGTTTTCCCTCATCCTCGTGAAAATTATATTTTACTGCTAATTTTATAATCCACTTTAATTAATGTAGGGATTTCAAATGCAAACAAAAAAATAAGATTATTTACTTTAAATTCAAATTAATACGATTAACTCTTCTGAGTCAAATGCTACGTGACCGAAAGTTACTCCTGCACTAACTCTACTCCAAATTTGCCTTCCGAACTCAGGATGTGATGATTGTTAATGTCATATCATATAAATCAGTGTTGTCAATATACTTCTGGTTTATAAGGATTATATTATTTGTTTGGCAACCAATTACAGTAAACTAAGTACTAATAATGAACAATTATTGAAAGGAAGAAACAGGTACTGCTTTGCAACAAACAAATGAAAGTAGAGTTAAAAAGTCTTAAAGAGGAAAAGCTTTATTTTATTAATAGAGAACCTAAAATAAGAATTTGTAAGCTATAATAGAACACTGTGTTAAGTTTCCAAAAATTACACGTAATTCGTTTATCTTAGTTATTTTATCAATGGCTTGCATCAAACGTGCTGGGTGTCCCACATTGCCATTTTAGAATATAGTAGCCTCCACATTGTAAAAAAAAAGTGATAATAAGTTTAATACCCTACAAAAGGATAAATAATCATATACACATCGCATAATGTTCATATTTCTAGATATTAATTTTCATTTAAATCATCGAATAAAATAGAAAAATCACATGTTTAAATTCATTATTCTAAATCGTAATATACATAAATCAAATGATTTAAATCGGTCAAACTCTGCCAAAAACGATAGGTTAAAGTTAAATTACCCATTGATCGTTTCTAATGATCAGGTTCCAATAAGTAAAATATGCCGTGAAGGGTAAAAGAAACCCATCTACAACAGGTTTATAAAATTTACATCATAAGGCTTTTAACCAAACAGACACTGACTTAAGCAAAGTGCTGCTGGCTTAACTTTTTACACCAACGTAATTTCCTTCTTAACCAACCAACCGGTTCAGATAAAAAACAATTAGAAACATTAATCTCTAGCTAGAAGAAATTAACAAGAAAAAACATTACCATTTATAAATAAAATGATTTATTAATACATACGCTTGATAATTATTAATTTTCTTATGCCCTTGTGAGCGAGAACGCAAGTGGTTTTACGACACAGTCGAACAATAACCCATTGGCAATTCACGACGTACCCAAGAAGGCAGCAACATTCGATTTGGTAACTCTTTTGTGTTTTCCTTTTTGTGTTTTGTCGTTTTTTTTTTTTATTAAGTTAGCAACAAACAAAAAGAAATCGTCACGTCCGTGACCTAACTAAATTTGGCTCAACCGGTTTTTTTCTGTTCATTCGAAAAAGGTGTGGTGGCTTCTTCGGCCCATCGTTGTAAAAAAGGATAGCGATACAGTGTTGCCGTAGTCAGATAAATTTTGCAAAAAAAAATGTAAACATTTATTATACGTGATCACTTTATTATTATCTTCTATCTAAAGTAATCTATATTAATATTTGTTCCAGTTTTATTTTGCGATGTAATGAAAATATTAGCGAGGAGATTTTATCAGACATATTGAACTTAAAATAATTATAAAAGTTAAATGACAAAACTGTTTAATTGAGGCATTTATAAAAGGGTTCGTTTTTAAAAACAGAAGGGTTATGTTTAATTTCCATATTCTTCTCTATGGATTCTTCATTTTTATTTTCCTTGTTACATTTCTTCATTTCAGGCTCCCTCTTCACTCTTTCTGATGTGAATGGTCACAATGTCGCAATTTTGCGGATATTCCTGTAAATCTTTAACATCTTAAATATCTTTACTTTAGTTTGTTGTACAAACGAAGAATTTATTCTTAAAGACTAGGATATTTATTGGAAATTTAAAAAGATACTAATTAAAATTTTTTATCATCTAAGGTAGGTCAAATCCCAGAATTTCTTCCAATTTCTGCTTTTAATATTATGTATTCTCGAGTTTTAACAAAGTATTATCTTTTTTAAACTTTTTTCTTTTACTTGCTATTTTCTGTTAAACTTACACATCTCTCATATAAGTTACTTTGGGCACCTGCTTGAATACCTGCTATTGAGTACCCATCCTGCGCTATTTAACACCCTTGTGAGATCCTGCATGACCAACCATCTTACTCCCTCACTCAGAACTCCAAGGACTGAACACGTTGAACACATTCAAATAAGCAAGCAAGCCATTATTTATTTAGGCTTGGTGCCTGTTGTGTTAAGTAAACGTTAATTTTAGGTATAATAGGTTATATTTTACTGTAGAGCCCTCTTTAAGGTTTCGAGCAGTTATTTATTAAATCTGTAAACCTCGAATTTGTCTTCTAAGGTTGGGATACTATAAACATTAGCGACAGCACAAATATGTTACGTGTATTTATTTTTATTATTTAGATTGATTCCATCTGATATAAGCTATACTTTGCTACATGCCTCAATCAGAAAAATGTAAATATAAATACATTGTATTTATATTTTTGAATGCATAATTGTAAAATTGTAGAGTAATGCAATGTGATTTTCTAATGGACATGTCAAACTTATATTACATCAGTGTTTAGCGTTCCGCCGCCATATTGCTTTTTTTAATGGCAACGTACATTAGATTAGATTCGAAAGGAGTTGGATATTATTTGTCTTTGTCCACCGCGACCTAGACCACCCCTATAGAATCAGTAAGTCTGATAGTGGCTCCCGCATATAGTTCCTTGCGTCAGGTATTTCTTTGCCTAATGGTAGAAATCTCAATCTAGCCATCACACTGGCACAAAACGCATATTGATGTTTTCTCTTCTTCTTCACAAAACCTGCACAGTATTGCCTCGTCTGCGTTGATACACTCATATGTCTAATTAGGCGACAGTGTCCGGTAATAAGATCTACTGTTATCCTAACGATTTGACGTTTTTAATCCAGTAGGTCTTTCATGAACTTGGCCGATGGTTCCTTGATAAACTATTTGGCTTGTCTCAGTCTTGGACAGTTGTTTAACCATTTTTAATACTCTATAAGCATCTATTGTTTGATGGATGCCTTGTATAATGCTTTAGCAACTCCACGGGCTTACTCGCCGGTCTTTTCGTTGCCCTGATATCCCTCGTTGTCTGGCACCCAGGCTAAAGTTACCTTGTTTTGACTATATAGCTCAGCCAGGTTTTCTAAGCAGTCTTTTACTAGTCGTGATTTGATTTCTGGTGAGAGAATTGCAAAGTGTCTATTATTTCAGCTTAAAACATTGTAGCATATTCTCCTAGACTCAGCGAAATCGTTATTTTCGACTCGGGTCCAAAGATTCTAGCACCGGCTCCATTCTTAATATTTTAACCGTCTCTATAGGTATCATACGAGTTTAGCCTGTATGGGAAGTCCCTGTTTCCAGGATTTTCAATCTGGTAGTTTCTTTCAAATTTGTATGTGGCATTCCTAGATTCTTATTCTTTTTTACTTACTGTTATAGTGTTTTATGGTCAGCGTTATGTAGTTTGTTTTTGCTTTAGGCAAAGTAAATAATTGGTTATCGCAGCCTACTTGGGTTTTAGTAGAGTGTTATTATTATAGAAATATAAGAAATATTGTTTTATACCTAACAACTTACTTATTTTTTATTTATTGATAGTTATAGATAAAATGTTTTCGAAATTCGAAGTAATGGTTATGACGTAGCAATGTCCCATTCATCATCCTTAGATTCCTTTTTGCCAGATTTTTCGCTACCCTGTATATATCCTATAGAAAAACAATAATAATGTAATACAGTCCCATTAGGTGTTTAGCGTGTGAATAACGAACCTCTACTTTGGTGTCTATACATATTTAATGGTTAGCCACTTACACGTTCTTGAATTTAGGTATAAAACGTTTGCACATTTATTTATTTATTCATTTTATGATTGACACAAAATATTTATAATTTCGCCCCTATAAAGAAAGAATTACTTTCCAAGTAAACAATCTAGTGATTTATACAATCAGATTTACCGTAGATTTTAAAACGTCAAACTGACAATTAAATCTTTCAGATACGGTAAGGCAGTTGATAATAACCAACGCCTGAATGTAAAAATATAATAACAGACAGAGATGGTTCTAAATAAATTTAATTTGAATTGAAAACTTAAAATAAATAACTAAAATAAACAAAAAGATCAATCTGACAACGCTGCAAATCCATTTCTTGGCCACTACTCAAGTTGAATACATAGCTTCCTGTGATAAGTTACATGTATTTATTTGTACATTATAAATACCTACCTTATAAGGTAATACAAATATTTACATTTTACTTTAAAGCTCTTTAGCGTACATTAAATATGATAAAGAAAATTTAGGTACCTGGACATTAAAAATACTAACCAGTAAAGATATTGAGTAATTTCTTTGCTGCATCTTAAAGATATGGTATTTTTTGTTTCTTCAAAAACTCTAATACTAATTCAAAGTGCCCATGTCCATTAATGGTTTATTTTAAATTGAAAAACATTCGGAAAATATTTACTTACCTTAATTTGATAGGAGTTGAGTTTATTCTTTGGAAGTGCGTTGAACGAACTGAAATCCAATCTTCGCGTGAATATACCATTGGCTCCACCTCCAATACTGTAATAAAAATATACTATATTAGTTATAAAATACATAAAGAGACCACGTTTATTTTTCTCCTTCAAAATATTGGTTTATACCATTCCTAAATCTATCTTATTTTTCTCTTATGTTTCTAAACTCATGCTTCAACCATTATATGCATAAAATCGACTGCCCCACGTTGGGCGCCATCTGTAACAAGACTACATGCTACATGTCAGTAGATTTGTTAATCAAAAAACAAAAGAATATAAATGCATTACTAAGTGAATACATCGCCATAAATGAGAAAGTAATAAATTTTAGTAAAATTAAAAAAAAATGTTTAATTTTATCCAATTCTTATTTAGCAAACTACAATCCTGGATATATAAAATTTTATTATCGCTTCCGCCGAACTATAAAGATTTTTCCTATTTCGAACTTTATTCCCGTCCCTTTCATAGTCATTTCATTACTCTCAGACATAAATAAAAATCAAAGCTCCATAGTAAACCGTACTAAATTCTTATATGACACATCAATCACACTCAGTCACAGCACTTGGAATAAAGCGAACATCTATAAAGGAAAAGAGGATATTGAAAAGGTAATATCACTCATTTTCCTTTCCATAGTTACAGGCGAAATTTCCCAAGTAATGCAATGAAGTCGCACAGTTCGCGAGAAAGGTTATGCTACATTCAGATTTAGTGAAGCTTGTGTATGGCTGACAGCGTCAGATGAAATACACTGAAGACGTTTTTCCAGCCCGCGAAAAATGACAGATCCGATTTTCACGCTGCAGATAAACTAACCCGTGGCATTACGGGATTTAAGGTTTATATTTTTCTTGCGACGATCCTATCCGACTGCGCCATTCCAATGTCTAGGCCGACCGCGATTGAATTTGCATTGATCTTTGTCAAATGTCAGGGTGGAATCCATATTTGTACGAAGCGTTCATGTTCTGAAATTGAAATTTTAAATTGTGTGTGTATAATACCGAAATGTGATTTTCATGTGGCGGTTTATTGCGTGACTGGAAAACGTGAACTTCATTATAGGGTTTTAAAAATCGGTAATGTTGCTTGCGATTTCGATACAAACATAAATTTGGCTTTCTTGAATTTTTCGACAAAATTATTGAAAATGTATGACTTTATTTACTCATGTTGTTATGGAGTGAGGCTGTGAAGAATGCAATATTGTAACAGACGTGCAGCCAGTTATAAGAACTTCATTCATGTTTATGAATCTGATTGACTTTGATAGAGTTTGAGAATATAATCTGTCTGAACATCACCTTAACATTATTAGTCTAAATATTTGTCAAAATTTATAAAGGTTTTTGCTATAGGGACCGTGCGTGAAATATAGAGGCAGCACTACTGCCGAAGTTAGCCCTCTCTAGTGTTTAATTTTAGAATTAAATGGGGTAAACATTGCAAGTAAATAATAATGGATATTTTTTAAAATATTAAATATAGTTAAATATAGATACCGGCCCATACCAAACAATCGAGTACATGGTCAAAATGATATAAAATGTAAAACATTATTAAAATCTGGACATGTATATACATTTTAAGCAAAAAGATTTAAATGGCTTAAGTGACAATAAATTGTAAAGTTGTACCTTAAACAAGTGTATCCAATGTCAAAATATCGGTATTTAGTAACACTGAATTTAAAAGTATTACAATAACATTAATAAATGTAAATTATAAAAAAAGATTGGGAATAATAATAATAATTCTTTTTTGCTTTGTTAGTCGAAATGTCATTCATCAACTGACGTTTAGGAGACGCCCAATGATATACATATTATAGATTGCTCACCCATCTATAAAAAATTACGAGAAGCGGGTTGCAATATGCCTTTCCTAGTGCTCACTAAATAGAGCCGTTCTAGCCCAAATGTGTTTTAATATAAAATTTCAGCATTTTAAGACACGTTATTATTTATTTGGAAAGTTGAGTTTCTATGTAGTTAAATAATATTAAGAGATCTAAACAATTTTTAAAACAGATGGATATAAATAATTTTAGACTACTCTCATTTCAGAAATAACACTACATAAAATACATAATTGCAATATGTAACACAATCTTGAAAAGGAAATGTAAACAACTTTGATATGAGATATAAACAACTTTGGTAAGAGTTGTAATTGGACACATCTATTATTCTGAATAATGTTTAATGGTAATGTCACTAGATTTTTAATAGTTCATTGCAATCTCTTTTGACAGTACTTGCAATGTATTATTTATGATTTGTTTATTTTAGTAATAAATGAGAAATATATAGTTAATAAATTGTAAAGAGGGCTATGATATTTTTGTCAAATTGGACATACTTATTTCATAGTAACATTCTACATTAGTTTTAATCAACAGAATAAACCATTAATTATCTGTAAAATTATTTTTATATAAAATGTTCATTTAAATATGTAAATATCTTAATGACAAGAAAACACTAAAGATTCTAATTTCTAAACCAGTTCTGTAAATGATTTCTTTACAACTAAGTGCTCAAAATTGATACAAGCTAGATAAAAAAAAAACTTTGCCCAGTGAAATACGCTTTTCATCGTCTGATTTACATATGGATAAGCAATCTATGTAATTATGTATATCATTAGGTGTGAGACACTAATTCTGTTCTGTGTAAATTTATAAAATTTCTTTACTATTGAATGAAATCCAGGTTTCCAATGTAATGTGTTCGTACATCCACGGATGCAACAAGTTTTTTCGATAATGATATTACGAAAATAATTCGACTTTATTTAATTAATAATTATTAAACAATAAATGCCATATAAAATATTAATAAATACCCCCATAAAGTTCAAATTTTTTTCACCAGTTAGCGTTAAAGTCATGACGCACGGTCCCTATATACTGTGTCGGAAACTGAACTTGGCATTGGAGCAAGTCAAAAAGGAATGGTGTCGTTAATACGAACCGACCGAGTACAAGCTAGGGTAACCAGATGCAATTTTACAAAAAGAAGATATACAAGTATTAGAAATTAAAAATTTAAAAAAACCGACGTCAAAAACGTGCAGATGCCACCTCCACGTCTTAACCAAATTTATATGGGACCACCCCTAACAAAAAAAATCATATAAATCGCTAAACATACATAAAAAATGAAGACTTTGAGGTTTTTGTCATGGACCCAATTATTAGATTTTGACCAAATTTATAAGGGGCTACCCCTGAAGTAGCCCCTTTCTATAAAAAAAAAGAATTATTGAAATCGAACACCGTATTAAAAAATTATTGCTGAACATGCATAAAAAAAATAAAAAATCGCGACGAATTGAGAACCTCCTCCTTTTTTGAAGTCGGTTAAAAAACGTTGACCAGGCCGTGAAAGCTGGCATCGCTGGTATTGTTCCTATAATGCTTGGCCTAGTGCTGAGCTATTTGTAGTTTTTTTTTACACACACTTGTGCCAAGCGATATTGACAATATCATAATTGGCTTTTGGTAGCAACAAGTAGCTCATTGCGGCAATACTGAATATGCGCATTTAATCGTTTTTAGACGAAGCTGCGTCATTAAACAGGGTCTGATTTATTTTCAATGTTGAAATTATTTGTTGCTTAATTAATTCAGAGTTTTTGATTTTCACAAACATATGTTACGTTTATCGTTGATTTCACAGGTATTTTTAATTAGTCCGAAAATGCAAATGTAGGTATATTTATTAGTTATTTAACGATCTAGTGTATTAATGACATTTTAGTATAAGAATTCGTTACAAGATTTTTTGGCTTAGCTGTATACACCTAATATGCCAGTCTCAGTTTGTGTTTGATTTTATTTCACGTCTGTTCTGTGTAAGCTTTGTTACTGGCTTTGTTACTGGCTTTGTTACTAGCTTTGTTACTGGCTTTGTTACTGTTCATTAGGACCCAACAGTGAATGGTCGGAGTGGGGAATCCTACGTAGGCATCAGAATATTTTTAAATATTTAAATTAAATAAAATCCCGGCCAACCCGCAACGGTGGGATTCGACTCGCAGACCCTTGGTTTTGTTAGCCCAGACTACCACTGAGCTACCCACCCCTGGCGACCGAATCTCGATTAAAATAAAAATATCAAACTGCAAATTTTGTGGAAATTTCAATTTTTAATTTGACAGTGAACATTTTTCTATATCGTTACAAAATATATCAATTAAGGCTAGTTCATAACAATTCAGCTATAGTCATTGATAAACTGTTATTAATAGAAAGTAGACCATTAATACGGCCAATTAATGCCTAAATTTAGCAACATCTGAATGGATTAATACACAGTCAACGGAAAAATATGTACACTTGGTTTCACATAAAATGGGTGCATAAAAAATAAAAAACAAAAGAAATAAGTTTTGTTTATAAAGTTATACCTACGCTTTTCACCTGGGGTACGACCTAATAATTGTTGTTGTTTCATGACATGTATAATACGGATGCAAAACAAACTGCAACTATTGTGTTTGCTTTGTCCATGTACTAATTTTATTTAGTTTATTATTTGTAATTTTTTTCTGATGTTCCCTTATCAATTTCAATTTGCGATTGATTACTATTTAAACTATGTTATATCAATAGTAGTAATAGCGTCTTCTTTTAGACGAACATAATATTTAGAACTTAAATCAAAGTGTTGTTTAAGACAGTTCTTGAAACATAATACATTATGGCTTCTATTGACAAAATTTATGAATTTTATACGTTTTTTTTTAATTTAGGGAAATCTGCAATAAATCAGTGTGTTAATTATGTAGATATACAAAATGTTGTATGCTATTTTAGAATTTAGTTTCTATTATTTACTTGTTACTGTCACTGATAAGAAACCAGTTAATTTAATTCTGAAAATGATATCATTTTATGTTAATATCACTCTGCACTGTGTTTATACTTAATATGAAATGTTATTTTTAAAATTTTCTTGTTATCCACACCATTCTTATTTGTGCAATCGCGTTTGGCACACGACGCCATTGCTCTTTTAACGAATAGTT